AGGAGTTTCCACTCCATCCTGCTTCCGCAAACCACTGACATCTCCATCTCCTCTTCACAGCCTTCTCTCCTCCCAGTCCCCTGCTGACCTTTCCTTCTGCAGCTCCGGCCTTCCTTAAACACCTGGGGACAAGGAGCTCTGGAGAGGGAAGGACACCACAGCAGACTGTCCACAGACACGGCAGACTGGCCACCACAGCAGCTGCCCGCCAGGGCCTCCCACCCCAAGCGTCCTTCTCTGACCATGGCGTAGTTTCATTTGCTCTTTGCAGTTCAGTTGCTTCTCAATCAGCTTCACTGAACTGCATGCTTAGACCCCTGTGAGGAGGTGAAATTATGCTGTTAGGGGGCTGAGGTCCTAACTCTGGGAGGTTTTACAACACTCCCCTTTTTCCTTTCAATGGAAGCAAGTTTGCCTCCTCCCTCCTCTTGCCTGCCACCTTGCCCTCCACCCGCCTGGTCCAGGGAAGAGCCCGTGAGTACTGAGGGAAGGTGTCCATGACCTCAGGAACAGGCTGCTACTGGGGGAGTCTCCTTGTAGGAGTTCGTTTTTTGCTTCTAGATGACATTCAAATAAATAGCCATCATGTTACATTCTCATTTAAATAGTTTCTGTTGTGGGGAGAGGAAATAAGACTGTTAAGCATCTAATCTGTGACTTGTCGGCTTTCTTCTTCTGGTGAAATGAATGCCAACAGGTGTTTCAATGCCTGGCGCCAGGGAGTAGGGTTGGTGTGCGGAGGAGGTGAGAGCAGCCCAGTCCTGCCCTCCGGGAGGGAGGGTGCCGCCCCGGGAGAACTCCCTCTGCAATGTGGGGGCGGGCGGTCAGTGGGCCCATGTCTGAACTGGGCTGTTAAATGTGAAGTGGCTGTTTGACAGGCAAAGACTAGCGCTTTCCCAGCTGGAGACGGAGCAGTTACGTGTGGCTGGAGGCCTGGGTGCTAGGGAAGTGATGGGAGAAGCAGCTGGAAAGCCACCTGAGGGCTGGCTGTAAAAGCCTGGACCAGAGTTGGGCTTCACTTCCAAGCCACTGGAAGTCATAAAATGTATGTAGACAGGATGCATTTTGTGTTTTTGGAAGATAACGAGATAGTCTAGGAAGAGGGTAGCATAAAAACGACTCTGCCTGGCTAGTGTAGCTCAGTGGATTTGAACATGGGCTGTGAACCAAAGTGTCACTGGTTCAATTCCCAGTCAGGGCACATGCTTGGGTTGTGGACCAGGTCTCCAGTGGGGGCCACGTGAGAGGCAACCACACACTGATGTTTTTCTCCCTCTCGTTCTACTTCCCTTCCCCTCTCTCTAAAAATAAATAAAAGTAAAATCTTTTAAAAAATGACTCCGGAAGCTGTCGGAGGAAAAAGATGAAGCCCGCTTTAGGCAGCGGGATAGAGAGAAAGGGACGTGTCGAGAGGTATTCAGGATGTAGAACTGAGCTGAGCTGGCTACTCATGGTACAGGAAGGAGGAAAGTCGATAGAAAGTCTGCTGGTTTGGGAAAATAGGTGCCTGTACGGTTCGCTGTGCTAGAACACCTGAGAAGAGGTCGCACATTCATAAACTGCCTTCTGCTATCACCTCGGGTGCATCTAAGACTGGAATTGCCCGCGGCTGGGTGTCAGGCCAAAAGGAAGAGCTGAGGGAGGGCGTAGGGAAGAGCAAGGGAGGCTTGTTCTCTGTGCCCAGATGGAATCTGCTGGTGTCTCTAAGGTCTGCAGTTGGGCCACGCCCTGTCTGCTACTGCAGTGGGTTGCTCACTGCAGCCCCCGTACCTGAGGCATTTTCTGGGAGAGCCACTGGATAAAAGCACATGTTGAATGTCCCACCAGAAGGACTCCAAGTTCGAGCTCTTTCGAATGCGGCTGGAGCTTGAGTCTGGGGAGGTGGTCGGGTTGGAAATCTGAGCTGTAAATAATTTGTGTACTGGAGGCAGTTGAAGCTTGGGGCGTAGGTGGAATCACTCAAGGAGGGCCCAGGGCAGAAACCCAGGGAACACTGAGGGAGTAGCAGCGGAATTTGAGGTCAGAAGAGGATGGGGACAGAGCAGAGGCTGGGAATCCGCCATAGGATGGCCCAGGCTGGTTAAGGGGCAAGTAAAGCCAGTAAGGCTGTGGGGAAAGCAAGCGCCACGGGACAAAAGGGACTGGGCAGGGCAGGGAGGAGGTGTGTCAGCCTAAGCAAGCTGGGCACTCTGCCAGTGAGGCGGTCACAGCGGACCGTTGTGCCCCTGGGTACTAACTTCTCTCAACCCAGGCCCACTTACATTGCTCTTGGCCCATAACTCATGGCTCTAAGGAAGGCCACCGTCTTGACCTTTTGAGGCTCAAGGCCACCAGGATCAGAGGTAAAGCAAGAAGGGTCCTACAAGCTCCCTTCACTCATCTCTGGGATAAGATCTTCCGGAGCACTGGGCCATTGCTGTTCTTTCTTGTTTTGCACTGAGAAAAAAAATATCAGCATTGATACCACGCAGAGATATTTCTGCACATGGCTTTGATCTTGTGTAGGAACATTCCAGGAGGAAAATAAGAAAAAAGCTTCTTAAGAATCTGTTGCTTGTTGGCTGAGAGATTGGGTGTTGGGCTGATTGATGAAGGTCACGACACTCAGCAGTTATGGGGGAGGGCGCTCCACTCGCTAGCAGAACGGCATGGCATGTTCTGATCCCGGCAAACCAGCTGCCGTCTTCACGGCAAAGCACCTCTAACAACTACCATGTGTCAGCTGGAAATGTTACGTCACCCAAGAAATAAGCAACGACATGGAATAGTGCCATAAAAAGTTTGTGTACTTACGTTCACATAACAAGCAGAATCATGTCTACTAAAATTCTCTCCCATGTAAAAACAAATAGGCTTTTTAATACCTGTAGGAAGTTTTATCATCATCTGAAGTTTTTCAAAGAGAATGTGAGGGGACAGGGTTGGAGAATTTAACAACAATGTAAAGGCTCCTTCGGTCAAACTGTTCTTTTTTTCTGCTTTTCATAATCACAGTGTAAAGATACATATAGTAGTAATAATGTTATTTCTTTGTTAAAGAAAAATTCCAAATGGACGGGAGGTAGATTTTAGAGGTGGTTAACTATGAATGAATGAAACACGATAACATAGTGATTAGCCTGAGATAAATCCAATAAAATTACATTCATCTCGGTGGATTACGACCAAATGTAGATTTTCCAGAAAGAGTAAAGAGGCATTTAACCCATGCGTTTTCTGTTTAGAAAATTAGTGTCTTCTGTTTGATTAATGATGGGAATCGATCATGTCCACATTCCCTCCTTTCCCTTGTTATCAGCTGAGAAAAGAGAATATATTCCATCTGCTATTTCTCTCCTCACCCCAAATCCCCTTAGTTTTAGGACAGAATTGCTAAATAACAATAGCTGGCAGGAGCTTCTGACCAGGAGAGCTGGGTAATCACGGAGATCCGGTGGGTCCGATCGGAACCCACTGGGTAATCACCGGAGGGAACATCTGGTGGGTTCGATGGGAAGGAGGAGGCTGCATGTGGGGAAATCTGTGGGGTCTCATTTTAAGAATTTCGACACTCAGGCCCCTCTTAAAAATTGTTTTTCTTCTGAACTGAACTGAAGTGTCAGGGTCGTTCTTGTTCCAGGCGCTTATGGGTTCTCATTCGTTTCCTCCCAGAGTGCCTGCCCCGCACTGTGCTAGGACACCTGAGGGGAGGTCATGATTTTGTGAATGGCCTTCTGGTATCGCCCCAGTGAGTATGCAAATGAATCACCTAAGGGTTCGGCAGAAGGCAAGAATGAAGAGCTTAAGGAGGGATATGAAAGGGGAGTTGGCCTTCGTGCCCAGAGGGAATCTGCTAGTTTTTGTAAGGTCTGCAGCTGGGCCTTTGGTGCCCAGCCCTGTCTGCTCTAAGCAGGGGGACTCTCACTGCGGACCCCCATCCTGGTGGCATTTCTCGGAGACTCTCGGGGTCTGCCCACGGCCTTAGGTTCCGCAAGCTGTTTCCTGAGGACATGCATCCACCTCGGATCCAGATGAGGGATAAGAGGAAAACCCTGTTTGGTTGGATTCTCCAGGCTCTCTGCCTGCACTGGAAATACTTTTGAGTCTTCTAGTCGAAACCTGCCATTATTTGTGATGAGAACAATGTTAACTTACCCTTTTTTCTTATTTGTTATGGCCACCAAGAGTCATGGAGATGTGTTTCAGACCAAAATATGGGGGGACTTTATTGCCTTCACATTTTGCAGTCAGAGATGAAAGAGCTAAACATATGGCGAAAGCACTTTGCCAGTTTAATCATTCTTTTTTATCTCCTGAAACACAAGACTCGAATGACCCTGAGGGAGCCCCCACCCGGCCCAGCAGGGCTCAGTGCTGGACTGCACCGGAAGATTCCCATCCGATGGCTTCTGGTTCCAAAATCACTTTAGAAGTCTAAAAGTGGAAGTAGCGGCAACTTCACGTGGTAACATTACGTGGATATGTGAGATGAGAAATGTAACAGTGGCTATGAATTATAATAATATCAGCCACCATGGAAGTAGCTTGACCGAGTTCCAGGGTTTCTAGTAACTGCTTTGTGGACTTGCTCCGGAAGCCACAGTGGGTGCTCAGTCACGGTGGTTAGCTCCTGCTCAGGGTTAGCACATCTGCTGCGGCTTGTTTTCCTGTTTGCCGTGTTCGTTTCATTAGTCGATGCATACACATTTTTTACCTTAACCCACTTCAAATTTCTCTTAGCAAGAGGCGGCCTTCTGATTAATGAAATGCAGTTTTGGAATGCTTTTATAAAAAGTAGTTAATTAGGAAGGCTTTAGTTTGTCTTAAATGATAAAGGATTAGAATGAAGGAAGACAACAGCCTTTGTCGTCAAATTACTCTGCTAATGCTTACTTCGTAAACAGTGGTATTTTCTGCAAACGAAATTGGTAAAAGACCACATTTTGCATTGAATCAATGGATCACAGCTAAGTACTTAGGTGCTGAAAGATTTTATTTGAACCTTAATAAATATATATATAGGGCTCACTTCAGCAGCACATACACTAAAACAAGAAGGATGCAGGGAAGATTAGCATGGCCCCTGAGCAAGGATGACATGCAAATTAATGAAGTGGTCCATAATTTTACATATGAAAAGATACTCCTCACCACCAGCCATTAGGGAGATGCAAATTAAAACCACAATGAGAGTTGCCTTGGCTGTCGTGGCTCAGTGGATTGAGTGCTCGACTGCAAACGGAAATATTGCTGGTTTTTGATTCTCAGTCAGGGCACATGCCTGGGTTGCAGGCCAAGTCCCCAGCTGGGACATGCAAGAGGCAACTGATCGATGTATCTCTCACATACATCCATGTTTCTCTCCTTCTCTTTCTCTGTCTCTTCAATAAATTAAAATCTTAAAATAAATAAAACCACAATAAGATATCACCTCACACCTGTCAGAATGGTCATTATTAATAAATTGACAAACAAGTACCTAAGTACCCTTCAGTCGGAAAACTGGCACATTTGCACAATGGAGTACTACGCAGTGGAAAGAAAGAAGGAGCTCCTACCCTTTACGACAGCATGGATGGAAGTGAAGAATATTATGCTCAGTGAAATAAGCCAGTCAGTGAAAGACAAACACCATGTGATCTCACTTATAACAGAACTCTAACGAACAAAACAAGCTAACGGGCAAATTAGAACCAGAGACATGGAAACATGAACAGACTGACAGCAGCCAGAGGGGAGGGGCCAGAGGGGCCAGAGGGACATCGGTGGAAAGAAGGCAAAGGGGCTAGTCAAAGAACACGTGTGAACGACCCATGGACACGGACAACGGCGTGGGGATGGGCTGGGAGCGGTGCATGGGCTGGGTGGAGGAGGGCGAAGGGAGAAAAACTGATACGACTGTAATAAAACAATAAAAAAAGAACAGAGAAATAAATAAATAAATAAATATACATATTATTCTGTTATTCTCATTATACTTTTATTTAGATTATAACCTTCTTCCTAAAGGATAAGATCATTGTTTCTTTGTAAATTTACTTTAATTGCTTTACCTGATGGCTCAATTAGTGTTATTCAATGAAGTTATTATATGATGAATTATGGGATATATGTATATTATCAAAATATTTTTAAAAATATTTAAACCCTGGCTGGTGTAGCTCAGTGGACTGAGTGCGGGCCTGTGAGCCAAAGGATTACCTGTTCAATTCCCAGTCAGGGCACATGCCTGGGTTGCAGACCAGTTCCCAGCAGGGGACGCACGAGAGGCAACCATACATTGATATTTCTTTCCCTCTCTCCTTCCCTTCCCCTCTAAAGATAAATAAATAAAATCTTTAAATATATATATATTTAAAATACCATTTATTTTATTTTATTAAAAATTTTATTTTTTTATTTATTTTTAGGGAGACAGAAAGAGAGGGAGAGAAACATCAATGTGCGTTTGCCTCTCATGCGCCCCCTACTGGGGACCAGGCCTGCAGCCCAGACATGTGTCCTGACTGGGAATCAAACCAGGCCCCTTTGGTTAGCAGTCCAGCACTCACACCAGCCAGGGCTACTTTTTTTATTAAAATACTTTTGGAATGCAAATCAAGATCTGTGCCCCAAACATTATAAATGTCCTGTTAAGGTGGATTAAGGATACTGCCCATTGAAATTGAATACCCTCTTCTGAAGTTTACTCTTTTCTTACCTCTAATACACTTCTAATTTCTTTTTTTTACTTTTATTTATTTATTTTAGAGAAAGGGGAGGGAGGGTGAAAGAGAGGGAGAGAAATACCAATATGTGGTTGTCTCTCACATGCCCCCAACTGGGGACCTGGCTTGCAATCCAGGCATGTATCCTTGACCGGGAATTGAACCAGTGACCCTCTGGTTCACAGGCTGGTGCTCAAACCACTGCGAGCACCAGCCAAGGCTAAAATTGTAATTTCTTAAAGGGCCCAAGAAGCTATCAAAGTCAGACTGCCTGTATTTGAATACAGCCTCTATTACTTACCATATTACCTTGGGCGCGTTATTTAGTCCTTTGAGGAGGCTAAATTTCCTCTTTGACAAATGAGGTCAATAACAGCCTACTAATCCTAAGGTTTTAATGAGGTTTCAGCAAGATAATCCGTTTAAAGCACTTAGCAGCATTGTTTCTTATCCTTTTGGCTAAGATCGAGTATAGTATCTGTTTTATCAGTTTAATATCTAATATGTCCTCTATCCCAGGACATTATATGAAATGAATTTTTGGAGCTGGGAGATGGAATAGGAGCTTTACTTCGTCTACTTGCGCATCAACCCAGTATCGCTGTACTTCCTGAAACGGTGCACAAAAAAACCCCCCAAAACTAAAACAAAAAACACTTAGCAAAATGCCTGGCACAGGTAAGTAACCAATAAATATTAATTTATTATCTAAATGAATTGACATAGAAAATTAGTCACAATATATTGTTAAGGTGCTTCTCTTGAAAGGTCTTTTCTCTTGGCTTGGCTTGCATACTTATACTCAGAGATAAGGGCCAGGACTGGGTCAGGGTCAAGGTCCATTGAAGGCTCCCCTCCTCTGTGAACCCTCTCCCTCTCCCATACAGAGTGAGTGGCCTCTTTGGGGTTCCCTGGGTATCCCCTTCACACTGAGTATGAAATCAAGTGTATAGTTGGCTCCCTGTCTAGACTGTAGGAACTCGGACAAAAGGACTGTGTTATTCTCCTCTGCATCCCATAACACAATTTTTCGAGTAACCACATGAACAAAGAAGCACCGAGCAGGTAGTGAAAGCAAATTCTTGCCCTTTCCCTCTAGTTGGTCAGATACCCAGGGAGAGATTAAGAAGAGGTTATAGAAATGGAAGAGGTTGGTATTAGAATAAAAAGGATCCTGCAAAGTTAGAAAAATACTGTTTGTTCTGTAGTAATGGAAACAAGAAGCCACCAACACTGAATTTAAGTCTGTTCAGTCTATTGGTGACAACTAGCTGAAGCAAACATGCTTTTGGGAACCTACCAGTCAGTGCTGGCTCCTGCTTGTGAAAATCCGCCAATAAGAATGGACCCACTCCAACAAAAATACCTCCGAGTGCCAGCCAATCAATAGTTCTCACCCAAGCAACCACACTGCTGCAGATGATGTCAACGCACTTCGAGCTCTGCCAGTTCTCCAGCCCATGAATTCCACACTTCCCGAAAATGGTGCATGACGTCACCAGCCTTTTCTATCCTTGGAGACCGTGCCGGACCAGCAGAGTTCGCCCTTATTAAAGTAAGCAATAAATTCAGCTTTGTCCTTTCGTTTCATGTATGGAGGGGGTCTCAACATTCTTTGATAATTCTAGGAATTTTTGTGTCCTGAGATAAATTTCCTGTAACAAAATTCATTATTTTAAACATTTAGAATAGACAATTCAGCTATTTTTAGTAAATTTACAATGTTGTGCAACCATCATTCCGATTTAATTCCAGAATATTCTCTTTACCCCCAAAGGAAAGCCTGTACTTCTTTTTTTTCTTTAAATCTTTTTTTTTTAGATTTTATTTATTTTTTTTAGAGAGAGGGGAAGGGAAGGAGAGAGGGAGGGAAACATCAATGTGTGGTTGCCTCTTGAGCTCCCCCTACTGGGGCCCTGCCCTGCAACCCAGCATGTGCCCTGACTGGGAGTCAAACCTCGACCTTTTGGTTTGCAGACCACGCTCAATCCACTGAGCTATACCAGCCAGGGAGAAACCCTGTACTTCTTAATTGCCTCTTCTCTTCATCACCTGTCCACCATTAATCTTTCTGTCTTTATAAGTATATGTTTTATTTTATAAATCCAAGATGATTTAAGTAAGGATTCTTCTAGAAACCTTTCTTGCTCCTTTGACTTTAACCAACACAGAAGTTTTCAAGCTGTAGAAATATATCAATATAGCAAGATAGAGAAATTGAGTTTATAATGGAGCAGAAAGGCAGAATACTAATAAATATACTGTGATATACTTATCAAAGATGATGTTAATGCTAATAGACAAGTTCCAGAAACCAAGCTCAAGGATAGAAAATTTTCCTCCGAGCTCCAAACTCATATATTTTATTGCCTACATCAAAACATAATTTGGAACAAATGTAGATGAGTCACATTTCTCAATTTCGAATTTTCCTAGGAAGCTGCAGTAATCCCAGGCAGTGTGGTGCTGACAATGGATAAACATGGAGACTGATGGGATGGAACCGAGAGTCCAGAAACAAACTCATGTGTGGTCAGTTGACTTTTGACAAGGGTGCCAAGACTTTAGCCAGAAACGTAAATCTTCGTGACGTGCGATTAGGTAATGGTTGCTTAGTTATGACATCAAAAGCACAAACAGCAAAAGAAAAGAAATATACACATTGGACTTCATTAAAATTAAAAGCTTCCGCATTTCAAAGGATATTGTATTAGTTTGCTAGGGTGGCTGCAACAAAGTACCACAAATGATGTGGCTCAAACAGCAAAAATGTGTCGCTTCACAGTTCTGGAGACCGAAAGTCTAATGTCGAGGTTTCAGCTGGGTCGATTCCAGCTGAAGGATGAGGAAAGGGTCTGTTCTGGGCCTCATTCCTTAGCTTGCTGATGGCCGTCTTCTCCCTGGTCCCTGTATATCCTATTCCTTCGATGCATGTCTGTGTTCAAATTTCCCCTTTTTATAAGGACACCAGTCATATTGGACACCGGTCCAATGACCTCAGTTTAACTTTATGGCCTCTGTAAAGACCTTGTCTCCAAATGAGGTCACATTCTGAGATACCAGAGGTTAGGATTCCAACATATCTTTTGAGGGGACTCAGTTGAACCCATAATCTAACACATATCAGGAAAATAAAAAGACACCCCCCCCAATGGGAGAAACTCAAAGTCATATGTAAGATTAAGTATCTAGTATCCAGAACATACAAATAACTCTTACAACTAAACAATAGGCAAATAACCCAGCAAAACATGGGGAAAGGATTTGAATAGATATTTCTTCAAAGAAGATATACAAGTGATTCATAAGCACATGAAAAGATGCTCAGCATAATTAGTCATCAGAGGATTGCAACTCAAAAAACCACAGGATACCATTCGCACCCACTAGGACGGCTAATACAAAAACACATTAACGAGTGTCAGTGAGGATGTGGAAAAATTGGAATCCTCATTCATTGCTGGTGGGTATGTAAAATGGTACAACCACTTTGGAAAATAGTTCTGAAGTTCCTCAAAAAGTTAAACACAGACTTACCCTATGACCCAGTAATTCAGTCCTGGGTATATCACGAATTTTGACAATGGTGCCAAGAACACTCACACATGCAACTGGACGCCTACGCGGCTCCGACAGTTCCGAAACCCCGCGACGGAAGCCTGCCTGCCCTCCTGCGAGACACTCAGGTTGAAGTTACCCGTCCGCAGACCGCCTTGAGATGACAGATGAGAAGAAGCAGACCTGATCGCTGCTGGAAGGACCTGTCGCGATAGACTATGGACTTAACTTACCGTCAGTTTGTGCATTTCCTGTGTTCCTTTTACTTTTTTGATACTATATTGTATAAAACTCCTCTGACTTCGGTTTGGTTTCATTTTGTTGTGTTGGGGTTTTGTGAGGTTTTTTTCGACTTCTCCCAGAATTCTCTTTGAACATGAATATGTCGGCCCTCCCCCACCTTGCCTCCCCTCACCTGTTACAAATACCCTGACGTTCTAACACGTCCTCCGTGCGTCTCTACACCCCCTGGAGAAGCCCCAGAAATAACCCATCAGTGTTCTTCCCTACCGCCTCTTAGGCCCGTTTAGAAAATCTGGAGTTCAAAACGCTCCCGGCCATGTTGATTACTTTAGTGTAGTAAATTACAACATTGATCTAGCAACAGGACCACGTAACAGGTCATGCATATGGTGGCCGCCCTGATTTGATTAAAGTTGCCACCATGTGCATTGACACATGTGTGCTGGTTTGGGTGTGTGTATACCTGTACCCTGGAATAAGGCTTATGAACCTTCCTCTTGGCTTTGCATCACGTCCAAAGGGGTCCCGCTGGGTTGGCTTTGCCTGAAACAGAGAGGAGGACATTTGGTGAAGCAGATGCTGCAGAAGGAATGGGAGAAATGTGGCAGATTCCTGCTGGGGAGGGTCAGAAGATACCCGTTCTGAATGTAACTCTTGTGTTTATCCCAAACAATCTCGGACTTTCCCATACATTGGCTTCGTTTGACAGATCTTCTTTTCCTTGAAGGTTTGTAAGTTCAACCATATTCTGTCATCTGTCCCAGTTTCAGTGGAATCTATTTTTCTGGCTTCTTTTCTGGCATCTTTTTTCTATTTTCTCAGATCTCCAGCCCCCCCCCCCCCCCAAAAAAAATCAAGCACATCTAATCCAGAGAGAAGGGACTCTATGTGTACTCTTTTTTTTTTTTTAAGATTGTACTTTGTTTTAGACAGAGAGGAAGGGAGGGGAAAAGAGAGGGAATTATTGATGTGTGAGAGATACATCAATCAGTTGCCTCTCACACGCCTCCAACTGGGGACCCAGCCTACAACCCAGGCATTGCCCTGGCTGGGGATTGAACCAGTGACCCTTTGGTTCGCAGGCCAGCACCCAACCCACTGAGCCACACCAGTGGCTCTATGAGTCATCTTTAACATTTGAGGTTATTCATTTGCAAGTGTGCATAAGCCACTAGCAAGGGTTGAGCTCTAGGTCATTCATCCCTCCCACCTTCCTGCGATTGGCAGCTCCTGGAATTCTATTGTAAGAAGCTCTCTTCCCTTACATAGTCAAATTCTGTAGTTGGTCGGTTAAAGCAGGGAAACTTAAAATTATAATAAATATCCTTAAAGCTCCATTTTCATTTTAAAACATGCACAAGTCCATTCACCCATCTTTTCTTTGATACCAGACTAAAGCCTTTGACGGGGGTCTCCTGGTGGGATCTGCTCGAGACATCTGTTAGCACATCAGACAGCACCGTTAATTTCAGGGGCAGTCACGTGAGGACTCAGGGTACTTGTGGAGCAAATTGCGGGCAGGATTATGGATTTTGACAACACTTTCCTCCACCCAAACTTCCACGTTTGTTTTACTCACACCTAATTCCACAGCTTTCTTTTTCCCTTAAGACCTGATACAGACCCGTCTTTATCATGCTTTCCCCAAGCATTAATTTTCATAGTGATTACCATTCTCTTCACGCTCATATTTGTACAGTGTTAATAACATTAAATTAAATCATGTCATTGCTAAGTGCAACTTGCATAAACAAGTTTGGGAACAAATGACCGACTTTTGGGAAGCACACAACTCAGGGTGAGAAATGATTGACCCACCAGGGAGTAGCCTCCTTCACGGTTGTAAACATTGGGTGGGCCTCGAGCTACAGGCATATTATTCACACAGAACAGCCCTGGCTGGTGTGGCTCAGTGGACTGAGCGCTGACCTGTGAACCAAAGGGTCACGGGTTCAATTCCCAGTCAGGGCACAAGCCTGGGTTGTGAGCCAGGTCCCAGTAGGGGGTGCACAAGAGGCAACCACACATTGTTTCTGTACTTCTCTTTCCCCCTCCCTTCCTCTCTCTAAAAATAAATAAATAAAATCTTTTAAAAAAACGAAAAAAGTCTAAATTCAGAGAGTTAGCATTCAAATTCACGTGAAGGTACTACTGAAATTCTTTTGAGAGAAATGCTAACAATAAGATCTGAATGAACCTCTCCGTGCGAGGCCTCCAGGAGGGCCAGCCATGCTTCTGTGGGAGGGCGTAACGCCGGAGCCTCCATGTGCATTTGATTAGTACCAGTGGGTCTACTGGTAAATGCTCTAAAATATTAAAATATATATCCCTTTGAAGGAGGCAGGAAAGGAACTGTTCCTCGTTTGTGTTTAATAAAATACCGAAGCCTAAAGTAGCCTTCATATGAGTCAGATTACTAAGGATAATAAATTCTCCCAAAGAACCCATTTGCTAGCCAATAGGGGAAAGACTATCCTGTGTGCTGGTGTGTTCCTGTGATAAAACAGCAGGTCTACCCGGGGATTATAAAGCTGGAAGATTAAAGTGTCTGAAAGAGACCTTCACTTACCTTCATTAATGGTTGGACTGCACACAAAGAATAAGCCACCAAAATGATTAAAAGTGTTGGTGCTTGAGGGTGGGCCACGGAACCAGAAGTACTTTCTTTCTACCCCCTACACTGTCTAATGTGAAATTATATTCCTTTTACAAGTACAAGCAACAAAAACCGCCCATAACTTACCACCGCAGTTAATTAGTAATAATACCCAGAACCAGTTTGAAGTTTCAGGCAGAATGGCCTATGGCCCCAACAGAGGGACCCCTTTGGGTAATTCTTACTGAGTTCAGTGGGAACACCAAACAATTCTTTTATGATTTTCCTATTGTTTTGTTTAAGACCTTTAAGAACAGCAAAGACGAAGCAATTGCTGTATGAGCAGTTGAAAGAAGGTTCAGTTGAGCTTGCAACTGGAGACGTGAGAAGGGACAAGCCTGGAGCCACGCTCCCAAACCACAGCAAGTCTTGGTAAACTGATCCTCCCTGAGGCAGAGAACATCTCTCTCGGGTCACTCAAGTGTGCACGTCTCTTGTGCTTCCGTTGTGCATACAGCGTGACCCCCGCTCCGTGGTAACACTGTACATACAGACACCGGCATATTTTGGTTCCTCCCAACTTTGCTTGGTAAATTGACTAATTCTGTTCACATTACTTCTCCTTAAATGAATTATTGATAATATGACTTAAAAACCATCGTGTCCCTGGGAAACAAGGAGGTTCTTCTCACCACATGTTGATTTAATTAGTCTGATTCTCGGGGGACAGCTTTTAACCCAGCCCTTGGGAGTTACCTACCTCGCAGGTGCCCTCGCACACTCCCTGGATGGTGTGGACCAGTCGTCTCTATTAGCTCATCGGAGCTTGTCCGGAGGTAGTTTTAGAACCAGCATAGCATTTCAAAGGCAGCTTTGTAACTTCTGATCTTTTATCTAAGTAGGGTGTCAAAGTCATTTTCACTGGGGGCCACATCAGCCTCGTGGTTGCCTTCAAAGGGCCGAATGTAATTTCAACTCCTTAACAGTTAAGGAGTGGTTATATTTATACAGTCCTGAAATTATTTTGGCCCTTTGAAGGCAACCAAGAGCCTGATGTGGCCCCCAGTGAAAATGACTTTGACACCCCTGATCTAAGCTACACTTCATGATCAACCAAACCGAGTTGATCACCAGGCACTGAAAAATGAATAAATACCAGTTATCAAAAACAGGTACTTCTGTGATGTTCTCCTTTTTCAGACACTGTGTGTACGGTAGTACCAGCTTTCTAACTCGAATCACAAGTATTCTTACCACAAGGAACTCATTCAAATTTGGAACAATGAGGCTAATTAGTACCTGTCAGTTTCAGAAATTCAAAAATAGTTTCTATTATCCACAAGTTGAAAATTACATTTTAAGAGAAAATATCTTGGTATTTAATAGTATTAGTCAATATCTAGTAATTCAAAAGTTGAAAAGTATGTTGTTTAAATGTATGCAAATTATTAAAAACACTAAAATCCTCACCATTTTGCCCATTTTGTAATTAGATAAGTAGAATTATAATTAGCTCAGTTGTTAATAATTAATAATATGCCAAGATAATTTCATAAATTCATGAATATGTCAAAATCTCTCTCGGTTTCACTGTCCTCAGAGACCCAGGACACCCACTCACCTAATGGTTACGTGGCATTGTGACCAGACCCTGTTCTTTTTTGGCTTTGTGGTCTGCGGAATATATCTTTCCTGGACCATTTTTGTTTTACTAAAAAGAAAAAAAATGTTTTTATTCGAAACAAAAGGAATTCATAGCTGCTAACATTTCACTTGAAATTTTAAAAGCTGCAAATCCAGCAGAGGAAAAGGCGGACACATTAGCGTTGACGCAGCCAGTTCGTAACGGGAACCAGACAGTTGTCGTGGGGGAAGCAAACGCGAGCAGGAACGCTGATCAAAGTGCGCTCCGGAAAGTCCTGTTCTCAGCGTGTTTATTTAGTGTGGTACTCAGCAGAACATAAATACATAACAATACGCCTTTTCTCATCACGGGTAGTCTTCTGCGAAACTAAAATTTGTGGCCAACATTTTATATAAAAGAAAACTCAATCTGTAAATTATTGGGATAGGAACAAGAATATGGGAAAATAATACATTTCATATAAATTACAGAGGACAGTTCCGATGAAAACCCATCACTCTCCTTTCTAACCCCGTTTTACAAAACAAAGCCAGCTGGCACCATGCTGGAACCTGCTGAGAGAACGTAAATGGGGTGGCCCTGTCCCAGGCCAGCGGTCACAGACAAAATGCTGTCAGGGCGTCACAGCTGGGTCTCAGTTCTTAACTGGAGTGGAGCTTCCTTTCGTGGTCTTCTTCAAGTGGTGGTAGTTGGGCAGGATTTTCATCAGGAAGTCCAGCTGCAGTGTCTGGGGCTGAAGGGAAAACATAATGACATAATGAAGAACTGACCAACAGAAAGCAAAGTTGAGAGTACAGGTGGGAGTGATTACCGCTAGGTCATGGAATTAGAGGTGATTAGCACTGACTTATCATTGCTTACCCATTTTTAAACAATTTACAATGAACGCATGTTCAGTTTACTAACAAGAAAAGCCAAAAGATTTTATATGTAAAAGTATATATAACAATTCAGTTTTCAACATTGCTTTTATAGATTTCACCCTGACCTCTAAAATGTTAATGTTCCAATTACAGGTGGCTGGGTGGAGGGGGGCCAAGGGGAGAAAACTGGGACAACTATAATAGCATAAACAAGAAAATATAATTTTTTTACAAAAGCTTCAATTACACGAGACATGAGTAAAATACCCAGAATACGCCGCTTTCCACAAGACCTACACAACACACACGTGTGCAAACTTATCGGACCTTCACTCGTCATACACCAGCTTTGCCCAAGCTTTCCTCGCTGGAAAACTCCCTAGGGTACTTGTGAAAAATACAATTTTTTTTAGCTCTTGCCCTCTCTGATTCATTACGTGTGGGGAATCCTTTTTCTAACGAGGGTTTGCATGATTTTTGCGATCACTGAAATTTGGAAAGCAGCACTGCATACCACTGCATATTAAATTTCAGATATTCTTACTCAATTCTAATCTCCCTTCCCAGCCCTAGCTTCATTTCTCCTCTTTAATCATTTTTGTTGTTCTGCAGAAAGATAGTGAAAAAATACTGGATTGGTTCTTATTTCCTTTTTAGTCTACTGAAGTAATACTTGCTTATAATAATAAAACAGTAAGAAGAAAAGCCAAACATGACAGAAATAGAATAACCCGAAAGAACTGGAGTTTAAATTTCTGATAAAATATGGCGAGGAATCAGAGGCAAAGTGATAAATGTCTTGAAAAATATTTTCTTTTGGAGGAGTGGAGCTAAAGAAGCATACTGCGTGTGCCAACCTATGAGGCTCCAGATTTCAATCAGAATGTCTCTGTCCAAAGTCCCAAACGCCCATTCTTATTCATCTACTACGCTAACAAGAGACTCCAAATACGGATCCTTCGTTACTCTTCGTTATTAGAAGGGGATCATTTCATAAGCCAGGAAATTATCCAGACACACTTGCATATTTACAACACGTATTTATTTTCATCCTACTTATGTTAGTAAACAATTAAGGGATCCCAGCTGGCTGTCCACTGTAAATTTGGTTCTCCCAACACTTGAAAGTTCATATTTTAGGAGGAATCAATATATTTTAAGATTTTGTGACAAATCTTCAATAAAAGATTGCATAAGACCAGGATTATATCTCTGAATTTTCTTCTCTCATAATCAATTTGTCGTTAAATTTGACATATTTTTGATATTAACTTAAAGACTGAATAATTCCACTGCAAATAAATTCTAGTTTTAGAGATGTTTCTATGATGTTTTATTTCAGCTACTTGCTTTTTAAATAGTGGGCCTGCTGCCCCATTAAAACGAACAGGCGGTATTCTAGGGAGATCAGCAGCCGAAGAAAACTCTTTAAAGAGAGGTCCCGTACCTGTGGTCGCTCAGTCTGCACCCGACGAAGACAGTCCACACCGTAGATCACTGTGTTCTCAGGGATGACCTCAAATGTGTTTAGGTTGCAACAAGCCCCAATGATGCAGCCACTTGTCAAAATTACGTTCCTGCCTACGTATGCTGCAGTAAAAACATAGGAAGAATTGCAACTTAAGACATCAAATGATGAGAATGCTATTTTTTCTAAGATGATTTAAGCATAAACATTTCAGACTGGCTTAAGAAAAAACATTAAGAAAACACTTCATTTCAGAGTTTGTATTGCTCTAGTATTCAACACAGAGCTCTGCTACTGTTTGGTTGTGCGGCCTTGGTCAGCTCACTGCGAATTCTCTGAGCAAGTTCACCAACACACGGAAAAACCACCCTACTTCACGGTTCACTATAGGAAATAAATGGCGAGGGTTTATGGTGCTGAGCAAAGGTTTGACACATAGTAAGTATATAATAAACAGGAAATGACGAGGACGGGAATAATCATTGGTAATCCAAATTAAAATAAACCCATGAAGTAGGTTCACAAAAAGCCTAATTTTATTATTTAAAAGAGAAGCGTGTTCTTTCATGCCAATCAGAACCCAGAAAAATAAAACATTATCTAGAAAGTCTCATTGTTCAGGTTTGTGCTGGACCTTTGTGGGATGAGCTCTTGGAGCTGCTTCCTAGCAGTAGTGGTGACTTTGCTTGACCCCCCTGCCCCGCCCCATCTGTGATCAGTAGCTTAGGTTTGGTTCTGATTGGCTAGGGTGGTAGACCTGAAATTAAAGGAAACAAATGGCTAGAGAAACTGATTTTTTTCTTTGATTCTACAATAATATTAATCAACTAAATTTCCTCAACATTTGTATTTAGTAGAAATCTTTTTGCGAACTTTCATTTCACAAAATGAAAAACTTCAATTCCATAAAGTTCAGTTCTTATTTAAATATACAGAGCTGAATTTTAAACTCAATGTATTAAACACATTACCGGACTGGGTTCCTTAAAGGCAAGGAATTAGTCTCACAGCTATCTCAGTCCTCTTCCAGCCACACCTTCCTTCCATGCACACACTTCGCCAGAGTCTGGACAAGCACACCTCGAAAATATCTCAGGGCTGCGTCCAGACCACCGCAGTAAAGTGAATATTGCAATAAAACGAGTCGCACAAAGTGTTTGGTCTCCTACTGCATGTAAAGGTTATGTTTACACTATACTATCATCTATTAAGTGTGTACCAGCATCATGTCTAAAAACATGATGTACACATCTTAGTTCAAAAACACCTTACTGGGCCCTGGCTGGGAGGCGCAGTTGGTTGGAGCGACATCGGGACACCAAGAGGCTGCGGATTCCACTTCCGGTCAGGGCACACGCCCGGGCCGCTGGCTCCTCCCTGGCTGGGGTGTGCGTGGGAGGCTGCCCACTGGTGTTCCTCTCTCTTTTTCTCTCTACTCCTTCCTCTCTTTCTGAAATCAGTGAACAAATCCTCAGGAGAGGATTAAAAAAAATAATAAAACACCTTATTGCTACCATTGCTGACCATCACTTGAGTTTTCAGCAAATGGTAATCTTTCTGTTGGTGGAGGTTCCTGCCTCGATGTTGAGGAAAATGCAGTGTCTGTAAAGTGCAATAAAGGAAGAGTGTACAGAGAGGTTTGTCTGTCCTTCGGCTGTATTCCGATGCACGGAGAGAAAGGAGGTGATCACTTTCACAGTAAAGCCCCCAACGCCGCTTACCTTTGGATTCAATAACGTTATTATCTCCTATTTTCATGGCCTGGGAATCTGTAAGCCAGAGTTGAGGAAACACTGTAAACAGAGTTCTCATTTTTTCCCTGCCAATTCCCTGGGACCTTGTCCCGCGCCGGGACAGAGGACACAGGCGAGGCAAGGGTAGGCTGCGCATGCTCCGCGGCCAGATCTTTGCCCGCAGGAGTCTGGAAGTAAAGTTTTAATCTTTAAATATAAATATGTCTAAGGGTAAATAAATGACTCCTCTGTTCTTTAAAGAAATGAGCACCTTATATGCCAGTGTTAACGGTAACATATTTCCACAATCGTTTAAAAAAAGTTAATACTACCTGTCACTCAATGTTTGATGCATTTTACATAATTATACATTTCCCTTTACATAACTGGGGATCAAACTGTAAAATCAAATTGTATAAAGTTTTGCAGCTCACTTTATGTGATTCCTTTAAATGTACATATTATATACCATTAAAATTGTTAAAAACATAATTTTAAGCGACTGCTTAATAGTTCTAACAGTCCATTTTATATTTTATTGAAATATTTTGCTACTCTTAAACATTTAGATTTTTTCCTCCAAGTGTTTTCTATTACAAAATAGTGTTCTGCTGACATCATTAAAAGACTGCACTATCTTTTTAGAGGGCAAAGTGAAGCAAAAGAACTGGTGACACCCTGGGAGAAACAAAACAAAGAACGAAATATTGTCAGCTCCACTCGCCGTTTCCTTGCATCAGCCAATACGCTGTCAACCTGCAACTCCACAGGAATTGAAGGGACACAGCTGTGGTCCTTGAGTCAGGACAGAAGCCAGGATTCCTGCTTCTGTCACTGCTGTCACTGAGTCACTGCTACCTGGCAACAAGCTATAGCAATAGGAACAAGCTGGAACCCACAAAATGCTGAGCTCAAGGTCTTTGTGTGCGGACGCGTGTGCCGCTCATGGGAAGGTGGCGTATTTCCTTCCTCTACTGGGTTATTCGGTGGAAGAGAGGAAATACTTTTTTGATACACTGCAAGTCTATCTTCTCAAGGAACTGGATGGCCTAGCCCTAAAAATGTAATTAATACATATAATACATATATTTGATACATAAATTATGACAATTTCTACGAAGAGTCTTGGTAATAAAAGACAGCTGGGAATGATTTATCTTAAATTACTGTAAAGGATACAACAGCCAACTTCAAACACATTATTGGTGCCAATGATCATAGGTTTGGGGTCTGGATCTTCGGTGTCAGGGGTGATATTATCAGGGTGACTATAAAAAGAAGAGACAAATCATCAAAAAGTCAATAACACAATAAGCAATTCTCCTATTTTAGAATCTGGCTTTATTCTCTCAATTTAATCTACATCAATCTTAAAACACGCAACTATGTAATTTCTTAATCCAAGTGAATTACTTATCCCTTGTACTTGATTCAGAGTTGAAAAGGAAGCACTGAAATGTAAAGGAGTCACAGGTACATGTAGGAGAACAGCCTTCCTTTTATTAATTAAGTAACTAGTTATTATTATTTTTCATTGATTTTAAGAGACAGGAAAGAGAGAAAGAGGGAGAGAGACAGAGAGAAACATCAGTTTGTTGTTCCACTTATTTCCGTTGATTCTCATACGTGCCCTGACCAGGACCAAACCCGAGACCTTGGTGTGTCGGGATGAGGCTCTGACCCAGGGGTCCCCAGGCACCAGTTTTGTGGGAGAAGATTTTTCCTCGGACTGGGGCTGGGCGTGGGGGAGGGCGAAATGGAGCTCAGGTGGGATGGGAGCGATGGGGATCCACTGGGCCTGGGGTGGGGGCCCCGCTCGAACCAGCTGAGCCCCCTGACAGGCTATTCCTTTTATTTTTTAAACTCAAAGCTCAGAGGGCCTTCTTCAGGACAAGGCCAAAAAGCTACTGGCCATGACTTGTATTTAGATCGTTGAAATGGAATTACAATCATGCCTAAGTTAAAACACCTTCAATCTTAATAATCACTTGTAAACAGATATTTACATAAAATATTTTATGCTGTGAGGTAGTTGAAGTATTTGGAACATAAGATGTTTGTGGTCTAAGAGGAGGAGGTCATTTCACGGTGATGATCTGAATGCTGAGTTACTACAGAATATAGTTGTTAATTGAGTTACACTAAAGATGCCAAAATATGTTTTAAAAAGAAACTCCTTGTTATAGTAAGAAACTCCCAAATCCTAAGGAAGCTTTAAGGAAAAAAAATTTTCAGTTAAATATTTTCCCAAGGTCTTTGTTACAAATTCCACCCACTGTTGCTATAAATTAAGTATAAGCTTGTATTTCCTGTCGAAATTTTATCTAGAAAGCTTTATAAATGCTTATGAAAACCTCACAGGTATTACAGTCTAGTTCACTAAGATCATGTACATGTTCCAACATTTTATTACTTTTTAATCTTGACTCTTGCAAAAACGTATGAAGATTCCTGTGCAAGCTCATGAGTCTGAACAGGAGAAACAACACTTCAGCCGAGAAGTCCAACCAGAAGACTTTCTTGAGCGCGATCAGCGCCGCGCGGGGATGTTGGAAGAACTCAGGGAAGGTTCGAGCAAGAGCGGAGGCGCCGCGTGTAAGGGGAAGGTTATCAGACTGAGCGCCGGAGTCTTCGCCAGCCACCAACCTACCAACGAGCGACTCGCCCTGGACAAGTCTGTCCACTCCCCTGGTCTTTCCTTTCCTCCTCTGCTAATGACTGGTGCTGAAAAGGGTCCTCAGTGCTTCTCCAGTTCTGGAACAGTGGGTTTCCCAGACGCCAACCATAAAAGGCCCCCCACAGTTGGCGGAAATTAATAAAAACGCCACCTCGGGTACTTAGTTCAGCGTGTCTGGAAGAGCCTTACTCACGCGTTTATGATCAGCGCCTGCTCTTCTATCAGGTTTCCTTCGCCGATCACGATGGGTCCGGCCTCCGCAATGATTCGTGCTTTAGGGTGGATCACCGTCCTAGGTCCTGTTAACAGCACGGCGAAAATTAATTATTAGTGGAGCCTGCACCTCAAGCGGAAGCATGACCAAGGGGCGGGGGGAGGCTGTAGGGAGGAACATCTTCTAAAGTGTGTGCCGGGCACCACACAAGGTACTTTACAAACGTTATCTCCTCTGCTGTTATCACTGGTACCTAGTGCCAAACCTCAGACCCAGGAGAGTGGAGACAGCACAGGCCTGGCTCGCCTGCTATTTTTAGGCCCCTGTTATCTCAGCAGCGAAATGGAGGCGGAGGTAACACCAGTCTGGCAGGGCTGCTGGAAGGATTAGCTGAGATAATGTTTGTAGACTCAGTTTTCTACCGTATAGTTGGCAACAAAAATGAATGACCTTCCTTTTCTTCATAAAGGCAATCCACCTAACCCTTTTTTTTTCTTAGAGCAACCGAGGCAGGTGCTCTGACCAGGAATCAAACCCGGGACTTTCCAATGACGCCTGACCAACAGAACTACACCAGTCAGGACCCACCTAAGACTTTCTTAGGCCACAGTGCCGCAGGACTAGTGTTTTTATTAAATGACTAAGAGGGTATAAAGGGAGTCAGAGGACATGGAAACTAACCTTAGCTTTGTTACTTTGTCACTATACCTATCACAAGTTCACCCCTGGGGAGGAGGCAGAGATTCTGTGGTCGGGTCTAGGATGAGGTTTTTCACTGTTAAAGGTTAAAGGGGGACGGTGGAGGGTCCCAGATGTGATCGCTGGAGTCCTGAGACAATGACTCCAATCTCAAACCGAGGGGCTCAGGAAAGGGGTCTCACCACGCCCACTTCCCCAATGGGCATGGTGGAGGCCCTGCATGGCCCTGCTAGCACGTTCCCTCTCCTGGCTCTTACTCACCCACAGTCCCAACATGCTGATGATAACGAAACCACTGATGAGAAAACACGACCTCATTTTGGCCTCTCCCTCCAATGCCCACTCTAACAATCCCCGATTCCAAAGCGATTTTTATTGGTAAACCAGCAGACAGGAAGTCACGGACTCTGAGAGCAGGACAGAGTGGGGGAGTGTTGACAGAAGGCGGGGAGGGAGCCAGGAAGATGACCCGGACCATGGATTCAATGGTATGAATTGCTAATTTATACAATAACCATTATCTGCCTGTGACACGCAAGATGCAGTGCTGTATGTTACAGGAAAACAAAAAGACGTGCACTCTATTTTTGCCACTTGAGCCTGTCACCCTGAAAACTGGCACTGCCTCGCACGCTCACTCACAAGAGTGTTAAAGTAAGTAAGGAGGTGCTCCTGGTACCCAGAGAACTGGAAGGAACCTCAGTGCAGGTTATTTTATCTCCCAACAATGAAGAGCTGGAGATCAGAAAAGGGTAGGCGGGGCTAAAACAGGACACACCCTCCGTCCGCTAAGCAGTGCCCCCAGTGTGGCTTTGTATTTCTGTCACCTCTGGCCCCCAACTCCTCAGCAGCTAAATAACATTTCCCTGGCAAGGGCGCCTATTCAGGACAGGAAAATTTGGGGTGGAAGACAGGATCTCTCAAATTCCTGGGAAGCTTCTCAACTTGACCATGATTATGAACATGTGTGCCTTTTTCTTTGTTAAAACATACACACAATTTATAAAAGGAATACATGCTCATTACAAAAAAATTACAGCAAAAAAGTGCAAAGATCCTCTCATGCTAATCCCACTCCCTGGAGATAAGTAACTATTTTTAAAAGTCTGAAGTATATTATTCCAGATTTAAGTACTACTGAATATAAGCCTTATCTCATTAGACAGTTAAAAAGTAAATTTAACTTGAAGGAGAAAAAATACAGATTAAAACCACATACATTTTTTTAAACCAAGGAATAGTATTTATCATGCTATAATTTGATTTTTTTCACCTAATAAGTCATGGTCATTTTCCCACATAAGTACAGCAAAATAGATTTTTTTTTAAATGGCTGAATAGTATTTCATATCATATTAATATACCATAATTCATTTAATCTAGTCATTAAAAATGGGCATTTAGATGTTTACACTCTGGTGGGAGAGGTGCTAACCAACACTGAAACAAATTGTATTCCTTTGAAATGAGATATTCCTTTTTTAATAGATTTTATTTATTTATTTTTAGAGAGACAGGAAGGAAGCAACAAAGAGAGGGACAGAAACATAGACGGGTTGCTTCTTGCACGCCCCAGCTGGGAACCTGACCCATAACCCAGGTGCGTGCCCTGACGGGGAATAGAGCCAGTGACCTTTCTGCTCACAGGCCAGCGCTCAATCTGAGCCACACCAGTTAGGGCCGAAATGAGATATTTCTCCAGGTCTCCCAGCTGTGTGAACCACTTTAAATCTGCAGTTTGCACAATCATAGATCTGTGCTTCAAAATATTCTCCGATAAAGGGACACAATCTATTTTGAATTCTTTGCAATGAAAGCCCCCGCCAGCACCCATCCTTATCTAGAAAGTCTACTCTGACTGGATCACTTACAGGTTACGTGCTTAATCTCACAAAAGCTGTTTTCTCATCTGTACAAAGATGAGAAGTGTAACTGCAGCTTTGGGTGGAAGTGTGAGTTATAGTAAATAATGTCTGGAAGGGAGATCATGGGGTCTGGCCCATAGTTCTTAAAAAAAATAAACGTTCATCACTATTTGAAACTAAGAGCTAAAAAATAGCTTTATCATAGTAGACAAAGTAACTCCTGGTCTGAGTCATGGAGGAAAAGGATACGTTTTACTCCTTTATTCAGGCCATCAGGGTAATGTCTCCTTTTAACCACCAGAGAAACTTCTGCCCCTTACTTTAAGAGAGTAAAAAATTTGCCCTGGATAGTGTGGCTCAGTGGATTGAGCGCCAGCCTGTAAATCAAAGGGTCACTGGTTCGATTCCCAGTCAGGGCACTTGCCTGGGTTTTTGGGCCGAGTCCCCAGTAGGGGGCGTGTGAGAGGCAACCACACATTGATGTTTCTTCCCCTCTTTCTCCCTCTGTTCCCCCCTTCCTAAAAATAAAATTTAAAAAAGATAGTAAATTCAATAAGGGTATCTCCTACACTGGCATTAAAAATCTTAGGACGAGAGGCCGTATGGCCGCCACAGAAAGCACATCCTTTGCCACTGCCAGATACGTAGCCAGAGGCACTACATTCTCTGCTGGTCCTCCCGGTATGGCTTCTGACAACAGGCAGACTGGCAAGAAAATACCTGAAAAGGCACCAAAGACAAGGTACCACTGGGACCTGTTTGTCTTTAAAAGTTGCTCTTTTTCTTTTCAAAAGTGATAATAATAATACATGTTAATTACATGAAAAAGCAAAATGGATAAATACAACTTTTAAAAAATTAAACTAATCCCATTTCATGCCCTACACAATTTTTAAAAATAATGCCTGAGCTATTTTAAGCAGGTGTTTTCTTATGATTACTGTTTTTATCACTATTAAGTTAGTTAGTAAATATCTGGAAAATTAGTTTTAAATCTGAGGGTCTTCCCTGGGAGGAAGAGCATCATTAAGTTAGTTAAGATCTGTGCTTAAGACACTATCTCCACCTTGCGGCAACACTGCCAAACTACAAGTCCTGGTGCTTCTGGGCTGAATTTATGTAAAAGGTCAAGCTATCAACTCGGAGTTGTGCCATTCCAGCAAATGTCATGGCTGACAATAAACTGAATACTGCCCCCACACTTCTTGTAGGCCTCTTTTGGGCAGACACTAGAGAAGTGAGAATACATGTACTCTAGAATTCATGCACTGAAGTAAATGTGACTGCTAAAATTTTGGATGGGTGAATTTTTTTTTACAGGCTGAACTATGTATTTATTATTCTGACTGGGAAGAACACTTAAATTGTCTCTCCTGTTAGGAAAAAAGTCCAAATTGAGCACGTATACCATAATTTGCATGTAACACGGCCCTGTCCCAACTCCCCACCCCCACACACATTTGCACTAGTGAGCACTCCAGGTGGCAGTCGCCGCCCCTGCGACTGCACGATGGCATCCGTGCTCCAGGGCTGTGTGTCCCTCCCAGCGCGGCAAGCTCATGGAGCGGAGCTCTTGCGTGGCTGCAGCGCGCCAGGTGGAGGGGAGGATCACACACCCAAGCACGTTGTCCAGTACCCAAGATGTGTTTCCTTCTCACTAGTCAAACCTTGGGCTTGTGGGCTGTTTCCATTCCAGCTCATAAACTGATGCAGATACTGATGCTATCAGTAACTGCAGTACTTGTGAACAAGTGATATGGTGGATTGGTGAACTTCTTAAAGGAAGGTTCTGACTCAGGTGAGTCTGCGTCCGATTCAACTTTGCCTCCGCCCGGCTTGGTGCTGGATGGAGGTCGGCACCGGAGCTCTAGTTCAAGGCCCGAGCTGCGCCAGCCCGCTGAAGCGTGGGCGCAGTTTACTCTCTGCTTTTCCGCATGCCATGCATGCTTTTACCTTGAATGGGTCTGAATTCAAACCACATTTAAGGATCTTGAGGTTAAAATGCTTTAAAAATAAAAATCTGTCACCAGGGAAAGTTTTTGTTTTTTTTTTAAAGACGCTCTTGTGAACCTTCTTGGGGCTCTTTCTGGCAGGGTAGCTTGTGTATTTTCTTAACCACATGTGGTGAAACCCTATTTGGCTTATCTCCTTGTTTGGATAAATGTGTCTAGAGCTGGAGCTGCCTTACCGGTTGACGAAATATTTTTCTAAATGGTTGGCTGGGCTTGATTCAACACAGCCAGAAAGACATTCCATGCATCAAATTTCCATTCCCTTCGTTTGGTAAAGGACATTTTTCCTCTCTCTCTTTGCCACAGAAAGCAAACTTTGAGTTTGTTTTCATATGTCAAATAAATAGTTGAAAAAAAACAAAGCTCTTTTTTTTGAAAATTAAAATTACTTTGACCTGTAGGCTGAAGTATCGGTAAGAACTTCATAGTCCATGAATTTCTCAAGTCAAAGCTACTATTCTGCCTTACTGAAAAAGATTCCCACAATAAAAGGGAAGCTTTTGATCTACATTAAAAACTCGAATGAAGAGAAAGAATTCAGTGGGACAAGGGGCTCGCATCGCAGAGCTCTTCCAGTGTGCCAAGTTCCGCCTCCACACTGCGCTGTCCCAGCCAGGCCTGGCCCTGATGCCAGGCGACAGCCTTTCACCCTATTACGTACAGGACTGGAAGACTGTGCTCAACGGTACCTTCCTGAAACGTTTTTGGCATTCAAAATAAAATTTATAGGAAATAATGCATGGCTCATGAATCAAGGCAGCCTAATTAAAACAGACTTAATCCAAAGAAACCTCGAGTGAGGATAAAATGATAATTTAAAAATAATAATATGCCCTGGCTGGTGTGGCTCAGTGGACTGAGTGTCAGCCTGTGAACCAAAGGGTCACCAGTTCCATTCCCAGTCAGGGCCGATGCCCAGCTAGGCTATAGGCCAAGTCTCCAGTAGGGGGCATGCGAGAGGCAACTAATTGATATTTCTTCTCTTTTTCTCTTCCTTTCCTTCTCTCAAAAAATAAATACATAAAATCTTTTTAAAAATTAACATTATTTTTGTTACTTTCCTTTTATAGAACATCTTGTGAACTAATATTAGATATTATTCCTTGAATCATGATAAAAATACCGAATACAAATAATGCAGAAGAGTATTTGGATAAACATATGGCCTCATAATTTCTCTTCGTAAAACATCTGCCAGTGGTTTAAGAGTTAACGAAGTGTTAACACAGCACTGAAAGTAAACAGGGTTACCTCCTAAACTCTGAAATTCTGTCAATTTAAAATAAAGCCAACCTGGAAAACTCCTAATGCTATTCCTTAATACTGGTGCAATCTTCACTGGTTTTATCAGACATGATGCCTAAATTGGTTGAATGCTCAGACTTACTAAATGTATCATTTTTCCATATCAAGGAAAGACGTTACTCCAAGGGAACGAGGCATAACACGCAGCAGCTGGTGAGGACAGGCTTCCGTTAATAAAGTTCCAAGGGAACCACGTCCAGGAGAAACACGTAAAACAACCCGGAGGAACTCAGATCACGTTCAAACAGGTACATCACCAGATATTGTTTATTTGTTTTAAATGTCGGACTTGACCTCTAGCAAAGCTACACTAATAAGATTTAACTGTGCGATTAGCTAACTTGTATTGTGTGCTTACTGTGCATTAAATTCTAGGCAACTGTTTGCACAAATATTCTTATTTAATCCTTCAAAAACTTAGGAAGCAGGTACTCCTATTTTACATGTGACAGTAACTGCTAGTTACCACTGAAGAGCCATTCTTCCCTTTTCCTTGTAACAGAATCCTATTTTATTAAGGGCAGCAATGGGATGACTTATGACTACGTTTCCCAGCCTTCCCTGCAGCGACGTGTGACCATAAGACTAGTCCAAGGTAATCGACAACAAATAAGGGCTATGTGGAACTTTCAGGATGACTATTTAAAGGGAGCTGACCCAGCTGAAAGGTACAACACTTTCTTAATCATTGTCACGCTTACCGCTTTAGCCTGCAAGGCTGGAACTGCTAGACAGTCAACCGACCGGCCCTGAATTGCCTATGTCTAGGCTTTTTATATAAGACAATAAACCTTTGCAGGTATAAGCCACCCCTACATGTAGATGAACCTATTCCTGAGACCCACATTTACACAGATGGGGAAACTAAGGTTAGTGAGGTTAAGAAATATGCCTGCGGTAACCCAGCAAGTAAGGTGCAAGGATGCTAACCCAATCCCGTCACACTTCACGGTTCACACTCTTAGTAATTACCCAGGAGAATGTAAGCTTGACAAAGGCAGTACGTTTTCCTGCTGTATTCATTGCTGTGTCCCTATGCTGGCACAGTGCCTGGCACATAGTAGGTACACAATAGATGTCCCTCAAATAAACAAATGACTTATTATGTTCATCCGATAGAAGTTTAAACAGAGACTCCATCATATTACATTCTTTTAGAAATATAAAACATGCCTGGGAGGAAAATACATCATTTTGTCAATACCATTAGGACATCAGTGAAACAAACACACATAAGACCTAAATACTGTAAAGCACTGAAATTAAATCACATCAACTGCTGGGAAACGACACTAGGAAACCATTTTCTTACCTATAGTTACATCCCCCCTGATTTCACTCTCCACGCACACAACCGCTCCGGGGGCAATCTTCACACTGCAGGGAGGAGAAAAGGTAGCACTTATCACAGGTGAGGCTTCGAAACACTGTTAGAGAAGCTATCCTGACACTGTGCTCAAAAAGGCTAAGAAATGGATGGAGAAATGCAAAGTCAGTTGTAAGAGGGTAAGGTTTAATATATTATAAACTTCTCAGCTGGCACACTATCCATTGGGTTGAAATCATATATGATGCCTTATTATTACAACGCTTGAGAGAAAAAAGAGTCTTTAGATCCTTTTCTTTTAACACCAGTATTGGTTCTAAATACCAAAAAGCTGAAGACATAGCTATCCATTTGTAGGGGACTAGTTAATAAATTGTAGGATACTATGAACCAATACACAGTCATAAAAAAAATGAATCTCCCTGGCTGGTGTGGCTCAGTGGATCGAGTGCCAGAGTGAGAACCAAAAGGCCACCAGTTCAGTTCCCAGTCAGGGCACATGCCTGGGTTGAAGGCCAGGTCCCCAGTAGGGGGCACACGAGAGGCAACCACACATTGATGTTTCTCTCCCTCTCTTTCTCCCTCCCTTCACTTCTCTCTAAAAATAAATAAACAAAATCTTAAAAAAAAAAAGAATCATTCTTTAGGTAAAGGTTTGAAATGATCTCTAAACTAAATGAAGTCATAAAAGCAGAGCCTCAAAATGGACAGTTTATATAAATGCCACCCTTGTTTTGTAAATAAGGGGAAAGAATGTACATTCAAATTATTTAAACAGCAAAGTAATATTAATACAGAAATCAGAGCAATGCACAATGTTCCTATTTATTTTCTAACTGTATATAAAACTCCTTATCAAATGATATAAATTGTGGTGCAAACTGTTCAAAACAAGTAATTGCTTGATAATTTATTGACACTTTCTGATATTCTGCTGTGATCTTCCGTTTGGTGCAGCGGACTCCAGCTAAATGCTGCCCTAGCTGGGCCTCGTGCTGACGTGAACTACACCAAAGGACCTTCTCAGTAAACTGACAGTCGGTAAGTAACTTGTTCTCATTAAGAACTTTTCTTAGTAGTGACTGTCCAAGGTATTAAATCTTCTCTCAGACTCTATCAAATAACAGTGCCATTTTAGATATTTTGACTTCACCGTTCTACTTGGGTTTTTCAAAATTTTGATCTCCAGGCATTCATTACTCATGTACAGAAATACAATAATTTTGTACATCGACCTTGCATCCTGTGACCTTGCTAAAGCCACTCAGAACAAGTAGCTCCTTTTAGGATTCTCTGGGATTTTCCATGTAAAAAAAATTGTGTCTGCGAATAGGAACAGTTTTATTTCTTCTTTTCCACTCCGTGACTGGTATTTCTTTTTCTTGCCAGGCCGTCCTGCCCAGGACTTCCAGGAGTGGGAGGGAGGAGACCAGAGAGCCCGGCCTTGTTCTGACTTCGTAAGACCAACCAAAGCTATCAAATGATCTTCTAAGCCATGAATTTTGCACTGTAAGTAAATTATTAAAAACCCGGTATGTGAAACAATAGAAGTTTTGTTGACCAAAATGTTACTGCCTTGATTTATAAATTTTTCAAAAAGTTCTTTTCTCAATTGGGACTCAAATCAAGGGAGTGGACCAGAAGGAAGAAAAAAAATGATCAAACAGAAAGGAATGAAGAAATAAGAATTCAGAAAAATGAGGAGAAGCTTAGGAACCTCCAGGACATCTTTAAACGTTCCAACATTCGAATTATAGGGGTACCAGAAGGGGGAAAGGAACAGCCACCAGTGGAAAACTTATTTGAACAAATAATAAAGGAGAATTTCCCCAAGATGGCAAAGGAAATAGACTTCCAAGAAATCCAGGAAGCTCAGAGAGTCCCAAAGAAGTTGGACCCAAGAAGGAACACACCAAGGCACATCATAATTACATTAGCCAAGGTTAAAATGAAGGAGAGAATCCTAGAGGCAGTAAGAGCTAAGGGGACAGTCACCTACAAAGGAGTCCCCATCAGACTGTCAGCTGATTTCTCAAAAGAGACCTTACAGGCAAGAAGGGGCTGGAAAGAGGTATTCCAAGTCATGAAAACCAAAGATCTACAACCAAGATTGCTCTACCCAGCAAAACTTTCATTTAGAATGGAAGGACAGATAAAGTGCTTCTCAGATAAGACCAAATTCAAGAAGTTCATCATCACCAAGCCCTTATTATATGAAATGTTAAAGGGACTTACCTAAGAAAAAGAAGATAAAAAAGATGAACAGTGAAAGGACAGCAAACTCACAGTTAGTAAGAACCACACCTAAAACAAAAGCAAACTAAGAGGACAGCTAGATCAGGAGCAGAACCATAGAAATGAAGATCTCATGGAGGGTTAGCAACAGGGGAGTGGGAGGAGGGGGAAGGGGGGGAGAAGGTACCGAAAATAAGTAGCATAGACAGTAGATAGAAAATAGATAGGGGGAGGGTAAGAATAGCAGGGGAAATACAGAATCTAAAGAATTTGAGACACGTGTTCATGAACTAAAGGGGGGAAATGGTGGGGGAGGGGTATGCAGGGTGGAGGGGAATGGAGGGGGGAATAGAGCACATGTAATGGCATAATCAATAAAAAAAAGTTAAAAAAAAAAAACTCTGACTAGAATAAAAAAAAAAAAAAAGTTCTTTTCTCTTTTCAGCGAATGTTTTACAGCCAGTAATGACCGGAAATGTAGACTGCAATGAATCATTCATATCAACGTGGTTTGTTAGGATCTGTAACTGCTCGTGGATGAAAATGCTTATTTTTAACTTACAGCAGATAGCGTAATACAGATGTCTTTTTGACACTTCTTTGATTAAAAAGTTGTTATTGCAAGTTTTTTTCCAAATGCTTCACTGTGAAATAGATTCATATTTTTTTAAAAATAAAATGTGTCTTTAAGTTTTTTCCAAAGCAGGGAAATCCCTTCAGAGGCCAGGCAGGTACCTGGAGGTAAAGAACAGCAGGAGTGAGAGAAACTAGATGTGGAGGGTTCAGTCCAAGTCTCCCTTAAGAACACTCAGATTAAAATAAAAGCATGCTGTTCTGACCAAATGAAACAAGTGTACAAGGGCACACATTTCACCCCCTTACAGCAGGAGAAGATCCTGATTTCTGCGATTGCCGGAACAGCTCTTCTTTTATATCCCTCTCTCCTGCTGCTTCCGGTGATATTTTAAAAAACTCAGCAGTATGTTTACTCAGTTACTTACAATGCTCCCCAGGGTTCTGTACTGTGAGTGTTTTGGCTGGATTCCTTCTGTCTAAGTCATTCCAATAGTTAATGTGTTCCATCTGAATTTTCTCATATCATGTCTCTCCATATTCCATCTGCTTTTTAATCAAACATTGAAAAGCCTCATTTCCTTTTGTTTTCCACTTTTTATTAACGTTACTGGGTTGACATTGGTTAGTAAAATCACATAGGGTTCATGTGTGTAATTCTGTAATACATATGTATATTGTATTGTGTTCAACACCCCAACAGATTCATAGGTTTTGAATTTGTCCTCCTTGCTGATTGGAAATTTTCATTATACCTAACACGAACTTACATGGGACATGCTTGCCATTCTAATAAAATATTTGTATTTAGCATGTTGAAATTTTCTAACTTTTGAGCAGCATTTATCTGCTCAATGTCAGTATTTATTTGAATATTTCTAAATTTTCTCAGGAAGCACAGATAAGAAACTATCATTATTTACTGAGATCAGACAGAGGAGCTGGACGGCAGAGACACAGGGCAGATGGAAGTTTTTTTTTATTAAATACCATTTTTCAATCATTTTCATTTTGAATCACATAACTAACTACATTCCCTATTCAGTAACTTAACCATAAAAATTGATCACATTTTCTCTTTTAGATTTATTTATTGATTTTTAGAGAGAGGGAGAGAAACATTCATGTGTGAGAGATACACCAATCAGTTGCCTCTCGCACACCCCCAGCTGGGAACCTGGCCCGAAACCCAGGGATGTGCCTGGACCAGGAATTGAACCGGCCACCCTTTGGCGTGTGGGCTGGAGCTCAATCTACTGGACCACACCAACCAGGGTGATAACATTTTCTTTCTTTCTTTTTTAATACTCACCTGAGGACATGCTTATTGATTTTTTAGAGAGAGGGGAAGGTGGGGAGAAAGAGAGGGGAACATTGATTGGTTGCCTTTTGAACACACCCAACTGGGGATGGCACCCCCCTGACCAGGAATCCAACCGTGACCTTCTGGTTCACAGGGTGACGCCCGACCAGCTGAGCCACACTGGCCAGGCCGATAACATTTTCTTAGGACTGGGTGCCGAAGAGGTCCTGGATATACTTCCATACTCGGGGTGAACTTTTATACTCCTTTCCTTAAAATGTCCCCCTCAAATCTTTACCCCAGAAAAACATCTTCCCCTTTCAATTTTAGTTCACCTAAAAATAGTTTCTTGGACTTCTGGTCAAAATGGCAGTGTGGGTAAATGTGGTACTCGCTTCCTCCCACAACCACTTTAAAATTACAATGAAACTACAGAACAACTGTCATTCAGAAATGCCTGGAATCCAGCTTGAATGGATGTCCTACAACTAGGGATTTAAAGAAGAAGCCACTTTGTGACATGTGGGTGAGGCAAAACCAAAGAATGGGCTGGTCCAGCACCCGCCTGTGGCAGTTTAAAATCACAAGGAATATCTTGGCCGCAGAGGTTTCCCCATGGGGAGCGTGGGGTGCCAGCCCCACACTATGCCTCCCCGGCCAGGGTTTCAGAGTCAGGAAAGAAAGTCCCCGTGACTTCTGGCTGTAAAAACCAGCAAAGATCATGGCTGAGTGAGAGAGACCTTCTGGAGTCCCAGGCAGTTTCTCTTAAAGGACCTGCACCTAGGAGGCTCGCTAGGACTCACCGCCTCTGAGCTCCAATGCCGGGGCAGCAGCCTGAAAGGAAACAGGTACATACAGGGAGGAAATGAACTGTCTGGCATCAGGGTGAGAGCAGGTGGGGCCGCTTTCTGCCAGGCAGAAGTGCTGGCAGAGGTCACCGTTCCTTTCCTGAGACCTCCCCACCACCTGCAGAGCTGGCAGGTGGGTGCCATATCTGAGTCTCACACTGCTCACCCTGCCCTGGTGATTCCCTGAGACCCTTGCCCTACCAAATTTGTGACTCCACCCAAGCTGTTTCCAGTGGTTTTTCTGTGTGAATGGCCTCAGTTGCCTCATGCTTCAGACTTTCCTGTGATCTCTCAAATAAGCAGCATCTAGCCTCTGCATACCCTGCACCTCTTGCTAAGTGGCCCCAGGCCTGGCACTGGAGGCAATCAGCCTTGGTTCACAGCTTGGCCTATTCTGGGCACCTCTAAGGCCAGCACAAGTAGCAGCCGTTTGCAGATTGCTCTGGAGCTCATTCCAGATGGCCCCAGGCAGGGCACAGGCAGCAGCTGATCCTGCACCTCCTGGGAGGCCCCAGAGCCAGTGCACCCAGTGGACACCTTCAAACTGGGCTGAATTACAACCCAACCACCTCTATGAGCAACACACTCAAAGGGTGGACTAAAGGTGAGCACCAAAGCCCCACTGAAGCAAGTCTTGCTCTGTGGCCTTGACTCCTGCACAGCAGTTCCTCTCCTGTAGTCACAATTGGTCCTCACAGCCTACTGGTCAGGGCGTCAATCCCTTCCACGGATGCCAACAGCAATCAAGGCTCCACTATAGTAGGGGTGTGTATACAGCCCAGGCAGGGGTGCACCTGGAGCACCTGGCTCACCTGGCTCTGGTGACAGGAGAGGCTGCACAACTGGGTCCTACAGGACACCAACTATACAAGGCCACTCAACCAAGTCTGGGAGATGTAGCAACTTTACCTAATACACAGGAAACAAACGTAGGGAAGTAGCCAACATGCAAAGGCAAAGAAACAAATCCCAAATGAAGGAACAGGAGAGTCTCCAGAAAAAGTACTAAATGAAATGGTGGTGAGCAAATTACCAGATACAGAGTTCAAAACACTGGTTATAAGGATGATCAAGGAATTCAGAGAGAACTTCGACAGCATGAAAAAGGACATGGAAACCATAAAAAAGAACCAGTCAAAAATGAAGAATACACTAACTGAAATCAAGAATAGTTTACAGGGAATCAGTAGTACAGTAGATGAAGCTGAGAATCACATCAGCAATTTGGAGTATAAGGCAGCAGAAAACACCCAATCAGAACAGCAAAAATATAAAAATATCTAAATAAAAATAAATGAAGCTAGTGTAAGGAGCCTCTGGGACAACTCCAAGTATACCAACATCTGCATCAAGGGGGTGCTGGAAGGAGACGAGAGAGAACAAGAAATTGAAAACCTGCCCTGGCTGGTGTGGCTCAATGTATCGAGTACCACCCTGCAAACCAAAGGCCGAAGGTTGGATTCCCAGTCAGGGCACATGCCAGGGTTGCAGGCCGGATCCCCAGTTAGCATGCGAAGGGCAACCCACCAATGTTTCTCTCACACATCAATGTTTCTTTCCCTCTCTTTCTCCCTCCCTACCCATCTTTCTAAAAATAAAAAAATATATTTTTTAAAAGAAATTGAAAACCTATTTGAAAAAATGACACAAAACATCCCTAACTTGGTGAAGGAAATAGACATCAAATCTAGGAAGTGCAGAGAGTGCTAAACAAGATGAACCAAAAGAGGCCCACACCAAGACACACTGTAACTAAAATGGCAAAGGTTAAAGATAAAGAATCTTAAAAGCAGCAAGAGAAAAGCAGTTAGTTGCCTACAAGGGCGCTCCCATAAGACTGTCAGCTGATTTCTTAATAGAAACTCTACAGGCCCCAAGGGAGTGGCAAAAAATATGCAAAGACAGAAAAGCAACGACCTATGATTAAGATTATTTGTCCCAGCACAGCTATCATTTAGAATTGAAGGACAGATAAACAGCTACCCAGATAACAAAATGCTAAAGTAGTTCATCATCACCAAACCAATAGTACATGGAATGTTAAAGGGTTTTCTTTAAGAAGAACAGCCTTCCTTGACCCATGTGGCTCAGCGTATTGGGTACTGTCCTGCAAACTGGATGGTTCCCAGTTCAATTCTCAGTCAGGTCACATGCCTGGGTTTTGGGTCAGGTACCTGGTTGGGGACATGTGAGAAGCACCAATTGATATTTCTCTCCTTTTCTTTCTCTCTCCCTCCCCCTCTCTCTAAAAATAAATAAATAAAATCTTTTTAAAAAAGAAGAAAAGATAAAAATATGAATAATGAAATGGCAACAGAGAGTATATGTATCTATCAACAACTGAATCTAAAAAACAAAATAAAAGAACAAGCAGAACAGGAACGGACTCATAGAGAACATCTTGACAGTTGCCAGATGGGAGGAGAGGGGTTGAGAGGATGAGTGGAAAAAGTGAAGAGATTAAGAAGAACAAATTGGTAGCTACAGAACAGTCATGGCAATGTAAAGTACAGCATATAGGATACAGCCAATAATATTGTAATAACTGTGTATGGTGTCAGATTGGTATGCGATTTATCAGGATGATCACTTAGTAAGTTATATAATCACTGGGGTGCATACCTGGAACTAATATATTATTGTATGTGGACTGTAAAGGAAAAATGAAAAATGATTAAAAAATATAAAAATACTTTCTTGTAACTCTTAAGCATCATTTAATGAATTTTCAACTCCTCTGTTTCCCATTAAGACCAGTTTTTCTGTTCTTTTAAATCATTTCTCCCATTGCTTCAGCAACAATCCTCTTTAACCAAGGATGGTATTGTTTTTCATTAGTATCACTCCTCATTAATTTCAATCTTTAAATAAATGACCTATCATAAATATAACCCCACTATGCCATGTTGAAAGTTTTCTGGAAACAACCTGTTATTTTGGATATTTTTCCTGTAAGAGGTGAAGGATGTGGTGAATGTATCCCCATTTGTAAATGGCAATTCTCTAATGCCTTTCATTTAGAGTGGGTCTGTATGTTAAAATATGTATTTGATTAAGCCTTGGACAAACAAATTACACTTTATAAATGCTTCTTGTTTAAGGCCTTATTTCTCATTCCAACTTTCCATTCCCTCAGCCTCCCTCTCGCTCTGATTTTTAATGAAAAGCTAACTTTTAACTTGTCCTGGACAAGTGAGGATGGGAGCGATTCCTAAGTGTCCCGCTGTCTTCGGTGTTATGCCGAAGGGAGAGGCCCCAGGTAGGGGCTGTGTCACAATCAACATACTTCTCAGTGCGGCAGGAAATATTTAAATTCACCATTATATCACCTAGACCCACTGCACCTCTGAGTGGTGGGGCAGAGCAGAGAGCAGGCAGCTGGGAGGAGGCTTAGTCAAGATCTATTAAAATAAGCCTGCAATAAATACGTTCATCACCACCGTGCATACTGTATAGTGTATATAATATTCCTAGTAGATCTGTTCCTCTGTAGCTTATGAAAAAACATTAGTTACCGCCTAAGTAGAAGAACCACCTAAAATTTAATTTATGGCACCAGAAACAACGTATGTCAGTTTTCTTTTTCAAAGAGTCGGCAAGAGTGTTTAACACTGCTGCTTTTGAAAACAGTTTGACTTAAGCATTTCTCTCAACCAAGCTGTTTCTTTCCACCAGTTCCTAGCAATGGGGACTGCTGGAGAAGAAGTCACAATTCTGTCCTCACAGGTTTACAAAGGAGCTTGTCCGCGCCCGGCAGAATGAATTCTCAGTTCTAGCCCAGGCGCGGTCTCCTTCTTGACAGGCAACCGCGAATCAGTTTACACAAACACACTTCGCCCAAGACAGGTAGGAAGGAGGGAAGGGGCTGCGGCCAGCACTTAAGTGGATGCCTGGAATCACACAGCAGTTACTAGCCGTCGGAGAACAGCCGCACCAGGGACTGTGCAATGGAGCCAGCGACGCCAATCTCCCTTCGCAGCCCTCGCCCCCTACACCCAGACCCCAGTCAGCGCAGGCGTGTCGCGGAGGGACGGCTAGTAGGGACTGAGATGAAAGAACAAAAACTTTTCCCAGCAACGTTTCCGCGACCCTTTCCAGGCCTCCAGATCCCATCGGTAGCCTCTTCCCTCAGCGGAAGCCAGGCCTGGGCTTTAGGAGCCATCCTGGCCGAGGTCCAGGGATAAGACACCATCTCAGTCCCCACCATTGGCGACCACGAACGGGTTCCACCTTTGCAGAGAGCTGAGAACAGGCTTTTCTCAAACAGCACACCCACCTCTTTTGAGTCTTCTCCGCCATAGTTTGGCTCGGGTCTGCAATTGGAACAGAGATCGACTGGAGCGGCTGGGTACAGCGATGATCTCTACCAGCGATTGCATAGCCTGGCAGGATTGGAAGGGGCGGAGCAAGGGCGGGGTGTGAGAGGGGGGCCTGCCTTCCCCGGCGGCTGGCTCGGCTCTTGGCTCAGAGCTCTGGGCTCCGCCTCCGCCTGGGTGAGCCCAATTGTGCTGGGGCAGGTGTGTGTTCAATAGCTGGTTTTAGCGCAGCCCCGGGAGCGGTGGACCCTGTCGTAAAACAGTCGTTTAGTCCTCTCCAACGCGCATCCTTATGACCTCACGATACTCCACCGGATCATTTTCAGTGTTCTTTCCGGTCTCTATTCCTTAAGGATCTTCCTGCTAGGCCCTAGGCCCTTTTCCTGTTCAGTGAGTTGATCTCTTCCTGGATGAGTTTATCAATCCCATAAATTAACTACCTGCAACCTGCTGGCTTTCTTGGGCTAACATCTCAAGTTCTGTCTTCTTTGCCTCACATCTGCTTATTCAATTGCCTACTGCTTCAAAGTCTCATCAAACGTAAAAAGTCAAGAACAGAGCTTTCGATTTACCCCTGGCACTCTACAAACAGCTGGTCCTTTGATCTCCATCCCAGGAAAGGAATCCGCCATTCATCTGGCTACTCAAGCCAGAAACTAGAGTCATTCTAGGCACTCTTCACCTCTCCATATGTAATTCACCAGCAAGTTCTGCTGGTCCTTCATCTGGTGTCTTATCATTCTTCCACTTTACATCATTTACTCTATCTTCTCTCTGATCACCATCCCCGTCCCCGCTCCACCCAAGCTTGTAGTTAAAATCGTGCTTACAAAACCAAATCCAGCCCTGGCTGGTGTAGCTCAGTGGACTGAGAGCGGGCTATGAACCAAGGTGTTACAGGTTTAATTCCCAGTCAGGGCTCATGCCTGGGTTGCGGGTCAGGTGAAAGGCAACCATGCATTGATGTTTCCCTCTCTTTCTCCTTCCCTTCCTTCTCTCTAAAAATAAACAAATAAAATCTTTATATATAAAAAAACCCCACCAAATCCAGTTTGGTTTTTACTTCTTATTCCTTTTAAAACCCAAACTTCTTTCCATACCCTATCCCTGGGGTCCATCAACCCTTGCCTACTTCTCTTCTTTAATTTCATGTTCCTCTTCCAATTTCTCTAATCACACTTTCATTTTTCAGGAAGCCAGATTAGCTCTCTGCTCCAGACAGCTTCCGCCTACCCTTTGTCCACGCCTCTTTGACCCTTTAAGTCTCAGATTTCACGTACACAGTGTATCAGCTTTTCATTACAGCTGGCGTCAGTGAAAGTGGGATTTGCTGGAATGGCCCTGGCTCATGGAAACATGTGGTTTGGGAAGAGAAAGTATAAAAGGTTAGGGGATGAGGAACCTTTGGTCTCATGGCTGCTGTCAACCAATGGTAGTTGGCACCAATTCAGCGGTAATACAGCTTGGCTGTAAAAACAGCACAGCTGTGGAACAGCTCAATAACCAGGCCCCTCTTCAGCTAGGGATCTGTGCCCTGCAATGATCTGCTTGGTGATGGGCTGCTCTGCTCTGCCTCTTGCCAGTCCGCACCTAGCTGCTGCAGCTGGGTAGCCCTCACTGAAAACGGGTTCTTGAAGCCCGAGGGGAGCTGGTTTATATAGATAGTCGGGTCCCTGGTTGCTGATTGGCCAGAATAGAGCGTCTCTGATTGGTCAGAGCTGTGCAGTTGTGGTTGGAAGGGGATAACCTCAGTCCAAATGGTTGAACTAGGACTCCTGGAACTGCTTTATAAGGGGTGGCTCAGGCAGCAGAAACATAGACAGGTAGGCAATTTAGCACAGAGTCAGGCAGGTTGCATCAAAGGTTCCTGTGCAAAAATGAATGCTAGGCTATGTTTTGTTTTTTTTTTCCCCTTTCCCAGTTAGCAACCAAGAGCCGTTCTTAGTCCTCAGGGTTGATATTACGTAGTCATCCATGGTATGAACCTGCATCTGTGCTGTGATCAGCTACTAAAAGTGTAAGTTACCAATGGAATTTAGAGATGGGGATAAACACGACTCGAGAGGAGTCAGGTAATTAAATACATAAGGATGTGCGAATAATAAGAAGCATGCTATACATACAATCCCTTGGTTATTGCTATTTGTAATAGCTAAAATGAAAGAAAGCACTGGGTGAGATCTTGATGTTAGACCAAGTTCAGATTTGGGTCAATCTGAGCATCAGCTACTAGCCTCAAAGCTAGTAGCTGATTTTTTCCCACAAAGGGAAAAAATTATGCCAGACCCACAGACAGTACCTACTTCTAAGGCCTCTGGTTACCAACAAGGCAGTCAACGTGAGGGGCAGGGCTGAAAGTTCCATGCTTCTGATCATGGCTTGGACTTTCCAGTGCTCAGCCCCCATCCAGGAGTCCTCCAGGAACCCGCTCAGGGTTGCATCTTTAGAACAGAAGATGCTCCTGGTGCTCTTACATTTAGGAATTTATAAAGGTTTTAGGAGCTCTGTGTCAGGAACTGGGGGTAGCAATATATATATTTTCTATTATCTCATAGGATGAATTTAGAACATTCTGTTACCCCCAACTGCATAAACACATTCATTTTCAAGAGACATCTGTTTAATTAATAATGAAGTAATAATAATGAAATAATCTGTTTAATAATAATGAAAGACTTCCATGGTATGGGTATTAGTCAGTGTTCTCCAGAGAAAGAGAACCAATGGTGATACAAAGAGAGATAGAGCAAAGGATAAATAGATACGGATATAGACATACATATCGGGGCTGGCAAGTCTGAAATTTGTAGAACTGGACCCACCAGCTAGAAATTCAGGTAAGAATTGTTGCAATCTTAAGTCCAAAATCTGCAGGTGGGAAACTGGGACAGGGTTTCTATGTTACAATCTTGAGGCAGAATTGCTTCTTCTTTGGGAAACCTCTTTGCTCTTACAGCCTTCAACTGATCTGATGAGGCCCACCCACTGTTTTACTCAGTCTTCTGGTTTAAATGTTAATCTTAACATTGTTTGTCCAAACAACTGGGCAGCATAGATTAACTGAGCTGACACAAAATTAACCATCACAGCATGTTTATATAAAGGACCATTTTATTAACATTGGGTACAGTTTCTAGGGCTTACAAACTTTTCAGAGACCTACAAAATGATTGAGACCCCAAAATAAAATGTACCAATTTCAAAATCCAAAAAGAAAAGTACAAGTGGGAATTAACGAACATTTATTTTAGTGACAAAAAGCATAACTTTTTTTCCTAACAAATCAACTCCAACTCAATTCTTCTGTACCAAGCAACTATATTTAATGGAGAAGGTTGCATTTTAATATGTTTGATATGATGTGAGCTTACTGATTGCTTCGGGAGTCCTCTATTCCCCTTTAATTTTCCACTGTTTGTCTAGGTCTTTACACCATCTGTGACCTGGAATAAACTATCCATCTGTTTGGAAACATCCTTCCAGAGCCAACTGAAAAGCATTCTCACTTCTCTTGCTTCTGAAAAATTCCCTCTCTCTACTGACAATTGCTTCTTTATTTATCTGCAACAGCAGACTCATGACATCTCTAGTTCTTTAATGCAAGTATTTGTTGCCAGTTCTGTCTCCCTGGAAGACTGAGAGCTACTTGAGGGCAGGGGCCATGTCTTTCTTATTCATCCCCCCATTTCTATTATTCAGCACAGGTCTCCCAAGTCCTTGCCCTTAAGATGCTTTTGTACCAGGTTGCACTCCCCCCTGAGTGCAACCTAGTACAAAATTTATTTGAGGCTGTGTGCTCTTGCACGGGTCTTTGGAGATGAAAAATGGCCAATCATGGACAATGCTGTAAGGTGCTGGGCTCAGAAATGGACTCCATTAGCCAAGATATGGCCTCTTGTTCTTGTCTTGCCTCTAAGCATGTCTCCTGTATTTCTGCCTCTCCCTTAAAGGGAGAAGATTAAAGAAGCTTCTCTTTAAGTGTTTCCTCTCCACACTTTTACTTCCTTAAAACCTTTTAAACTTCAACAAGTACTTACTGGGTACATAGTATGTGCCTGGCACTGTTCATACAACAATGAGGTTGTATCCTCACAGAGCTCACATTTGCAGTGGGGGACAGGCAATGAGCTAAGTGAGAAATAGGTTTATAAGGACTGGTGGCAGAGACCATGGGGGAAAAGCAGCATAAGGAGGACAGTAGGGGTTGGGAGGAGGGATCGTCCCACCCTTTGAAAACCCACCTCCCTTCCTCATGGTCATGTTCTTGTCTCCCCTGACCCCTGGTCCACAGCTGGGAAGTAAGATTTTTCTTTGACTTAGAGAAGAAAATATGACAGTCAGGTGGCTGGAAAGACAAATATTGTGGTATGTAAACTAAACAAAACCAGAACTTCTGAAAGCAATGTTTTTAGTACAGGTCATTACAAAGTAATATAACCCCGCATGTGTTTTGGTTTCTATGGTGCATTTGCTTTATCAGAAAGCTAACTTTTGTGCTGCTATCGCTAGTGCTTTTATTTGCCTTTTGCTCGCCTAGGTCTTGCCGACCCTTTAAAAAAGGTCACAGAGAGCCTGGCTGAGGATTCTGCCGTAGGAAGGCGCCAGCTAAGGACTCTGGAAAGGACAGTATCTTTTGTTCCAGTTCATAATGGCTTGGCCTCAGCTGTTTTTCCTCCATCCTGTCTCACTTTATCAAGGGGCTGCCTTTCCTTTTGCACTTCTGTTTAATTATCTCTGCAACATGGATTCATTTCCCATTCCTGCCAGGTAGGTTTGATAGCTAATTTTGTTCCTGCATCTCTGAATGCTAGCAGGTCACAAAGCACAGACTGGGGTGCAGATGTGAAGATTAAATATACTGGTTGCTTTTAAGTTATCGCTGCCACTGATTATGATTACTTGATCATAGAAATTGGCATCATGTCTGTATTGGCTCAGCCAAAGTTTGATAGGTTCACATTAAATGGGAAAGTAGGAAAGGAAATGGGGAGAGCTGGATGCTGGGTGGTACAAGAATGCCCCGGATGGACGCATCTACACACCAACCGTGTGCCAAATATGTTCATGA